ACTATTCACTGTTCACTATTCTGTAACTTGAAATAAAAGTTTCTCCTTTCGCTTCATTAATGGATGATTTCCTTTCTTTCTCTGCTGACACAAAATGAAAAAAACAACAGATTCAGAGTCTTCTCTGCTGTCAAGGTCAGCGAGCGACACTCTGCGTGAAAAACCTTCAGATTTAACAGAAAAAGCTACTGGTTGAAGGTAAAGAAAAACGATGACTGATCAACCCATGAGGAAATTTCAAGCCAAACAGAAACGGCGGGAGAATTTTGGTCAATGTCTTGAATATTTTCTCTCGCTATATAAATATATATATATATGTATGTAAATGTGCAGCTGTTGGGTTAGGGATGAATTTGTGGGTGCCTTTGCCTTGAAAGTGAAAGTTCCAATCTTTCCATAGAAGGGAAAGAAGAAGAAGAAGGCAGGAAACATTGGATTGTATGTGTTTTTGTAATCAGTAAAAAGTATTAGGAACTGATACATACAACCAAGCACAGCACAGTTGCCCAAGAATGTGATTTTTTTCTTTTGGTTGCTCTACTCCCTAATTGAAACTGAGAAAACCACCGAGCTCAAGTGGGTGCTATGAAATTATGTTGCTTTTTTTGGCTTTTTAGATTGGTAAAAGGATGTGGGTCTGTTAGTAGACTGTGTCACTGTGGCTAAAATAGTGTCTTTAGTGGTCAGAGAAGTGGGGAAAAGTGGGTTTTACTTAAATAGTGAAAATGAGCTTCTTTCTTTCTTTTTGGGGTCTAGAGAGAGAAAGAGAGATGGGTTATCCTTTTTTTTCCTCTCTCCAACTCTTGTTTTATCCAATGGATTATGGTCTAAAAGTAACAGCCAAGGGAACCATGTGGGGATTTATTGAATCCCTTTATGGAGGATAATCATTATGGTTCTCCATATTCATGTATCAGTTGAAATGTTTGCTCAACTAAAGTTTAAATATTTGGGGTTTATAGATTCAATTCTGTCTTTTCATGGCACAAGGTTTTGTTTTGGTCCCATGAAAATCACTTCCTCTGGGGTGATGCTCTCTTGTTCTGTGTCAAATTGTCAAATTGTTATCTTGTCCATATTATGGTCGTTTTTTTTATTCATCTTCTTCTCAAGTACACCTAATCGTATTATATATTTCTTGAGTGGATGGTGGAGAATTTTCCAACAAGGGTTTGGAGCTCATGAGTTTTGTACATATTATTGTAAAGATTAAATCTTCATCATTCATTGGAAGGAGAAGGAAGGAGGCAGAAACTTCCAAAATCCCATGAGTAAAATGATTCAGATTCTCCTCTGATTGTAGTAATGGTCTCTTTTCTCAAACAGTACACTCAGAATATGGCTTTTTTTTCCTCCCTTTTTTCTGTGTGTTCTCTCATTGCTTTCCCATTGAAACATAATATCCAGCTTGATAAGGTAGAGCTAGAGCAACATGTGACATCCTTGTAGCTTGATAGACAAGGGTGTTTTTCACTTCTACATTTGCCTTTTCCATTCCTCTCATTGTTTTTTTTTTTCTTTTTTTTTTTGGGTCAGAGGGAGAGAGAGACAGAGACAGAGACAGAGAGATTAGGGAGATGATTAATTGTAATAGTATGTCTCCTACATGTGCAGCTACAGAGGTTGACCAGCAGCAGTTCTTCCCTTCTAGACATAAATGAACTCATGATAGTGGAAAATGGAATAGTGGGTTTCTGCTTTAAACTAGGAATTCCTTAATCTACATGTGAGAACTTGGTTTTTTGTGATGTTTTTTCTTTTTGTTTATGGAGTTCTGAATTTGTCATATATGTCTCGATTTAGAGAAAAGGAGACTTTTTTGTCTTCTGCTTCTTGATTTTTATATGAGGATCAGAGGAACCACTATAATATATCTATGGGGAGAATCTTGAATGGCCATCGATTTGAGTCGGTTTAATGGAGATTGTTGACTTAGTTTTAGAAAGACTTTAGGCTACTCTTCAAAGAGGTGCTTGACTCGGACTAAAATTTGTTTAATATGAATTATGAAGGAACCACTGTAAATTTGTTTAATATGAAATTTGATATGTGGGTTTTGATTTATTCTAGGCTACATGTTTGTTAGTTTCATCTTACTTTCAAAAAATAACTTTATAATTATGAACTTTTTTTTTCAATCCGCTTGTTAGGACATCTATCTTTGACCAAAAAATTGTGAGTTCGAATCTTAACCTCAGCGTAATGTTGTATTAAAAAAAAAAAAACCTTAAAACATCTCTTCATTTCCTCAAGTCCAGTATTTCTCCAAACCTTAACATTTTTTAGAAAAAATATACATAGAGCTTGAAATGGAAACTAAGATATGAGAATCACATATATCAACACGATCTTCATTCTATAACATTTTTTGAGCATCAGCATTTTCCTAAGTGGGCTTAAGGAATTTTTGACAAAGAGTAAGCAAGCAAAAATTAGAAGTAGACGTATGGCATGAATTTAAAATAGAGAACCACAAAAGCCATTAACATAAGTTAAAAAGGTTTATAAGAGTAGAAGTATACGTTAACTTCAAATAAAGAATTTGACACTATACGTTCTATAGGTTAAAATAATAATAATAATAATAACAAAAAATTCCCTCTCTAAATATACAAGAATGAATAATAGTCCAAAGAATATCTATGGAAACACTGAAGAATGACTATTATTCACAGATATATGGGTGGTATATTGTAGGAAATCGAGGTTGATCGGTGTTATGACCTTCTCCATGGACTCTGTAAAAAATTCTCCTACCCATTTTGGGAAAATTCTGAAAATGAATGATAGAGATTAGAGAAGCTATCTTACTCCACTTCCAGAAGTCCATTTAATCCCTTGTCCATTATGTCAGAATTGTTTCCTTCTGCAACCTTGCAACCTCTAAGAATCTTTTTCAAATCCTATACACTCAAAATATTTCCTACAAATTTGGCGAACTTCTCTCTCTTGTGTTGCTGTACTGTTCTGTACCATCGGTTCTGCTCAATGGTAATCATATATACAATGCAGAACCACAGCAGACATAAAATTCCTAATTTTATTGAACACAGACCATAGTGTTTATTGGTGATTGTGCTTGGAATAATATGGCTAATTTTCCAAGTCTCCTTGTATAACTTCCTTCTTTTGTTTTTTCTTCTCTGCTTTCCTACCTAGTCTCTACAAGTTATCAATCTTGTGGATGGATTTTTTTTCCTCAACTTTTCCAATGTTAATGTATAATTTTTTAATCTTTGTATATTTCTGAGATGACAAGGGAGGATTATGAAGGTTTGGAGGGAAGAAATGATGCATGGCAAACTTATCTTAAAAATGCTCCTTGTGAAAATCTAACTTGGCCGAACCGTTTTGATTAATCTCATGGCAGAGCTGGCTTAGTTCTTTGGCCAAAACTGGAGCTCCGCAGTAGAAGACACCTAGTAGAAAATGTGAAAACCACAAGTATATGAGAAAAGGTGAGATTTCATTAGTAGGATTCTAGTATTGAATAGTTGAAATTAACCAACCTATCCTTGCTCCACAGTGCTTGGAACTGATTTTGCAAAGAACTTTCTTCCAGTTAGGCCTGGCAAAGTGGGTTCGCACCTGCATTGGAGTCGAAAAACTTTAGAATGGGTGAGGTATAGACGGTGACATAATTTTTCAAGGACCAATATGGCCACAAAATTTGTCAGCCAGCCTAGGAGTACACCAATTCCTCACCATTTCTTCCAAGCTTTTGTTGATTTGATTCCATATTTTGGCATAATTTTCAAATTTGCATATGTACTTCCATAACAATAGTAAATGATACGAAGAAAAGGTATTAGAAACTGCAGTGAATGTTTACGATTTTACCCTGGTGCCAGACACAATATCTACTCCATTCTTAGCATGATTGAGGGCTTGAACCATGGTAATGAGAGTTGAACGAGCGTCTCCTTCCTCATACACACTAGTCAGATAGTTATGCATCTCAATTAGGCCCTAAAATTCATAACAATCAAAATTCCCAAATTAACAGATAGGATATGAAATGCAATATTGCAAGTGTATATTAAGCATAAGCACGTAAAGACATGAATTACCCTTTGATCCATCTCGGAGATCTCATTCATCACACCTTTGAACCAATCAAAGGAGCCTTGCTCCCTAGTCACCCAATAAAAGTATGCATTTGTGGTCTTCAGACTATTTTTCCTTTTAGGAGCGATACAATCTTTGCTCACATAACTGAAGTCTGCAACACTACTGATGTCAGTAGATAAATCCTGAGAGAATCGAAGTGTATAAGCATATTTGGTAAGGTTCTTTTCAAGTTACAGAGCAATTAAATTTTGACAAAATGATTGATCACAATAGAATCATAAGTAAAAGAAAATAACAGCACAAGTCACGTACTGCCTGCTCCTCCATTTTCACGATGTTATGCAACAAATCCTTCAAAATGCTGATGAAAGGTGTTGCCCCAATGCCTTGGCCAACAAGTAGTAGCACATCATATTTATGGTAGTCCTGTGCTGGGGCACCATATGGTCCATCTATTGAAAGTTTAGGCAAACTGGCATCGGCAGAACAAATTTCCAAAATTTATATGAAGGAAATACAGTATGCTAAAATGAGGTCTAAGAAAGGAATTATAAGGATAAATATTAACCTCTTTATGGTAGTTTCATCAGCTCTTAGAAGGCCACTCTTTCCGGAGACGGAAGGCTCACAAACCTCAGAGAAAACCCTTTTAAGCTCTTGCGTCCAATCACCAAGCTGCCTGACATGGATACTGAGGTAGTCATCTCCAGGAGCAGAGGTAATTGAAAATGGATGCCTGCATGCAAAGTTTACCATGTTATGGTAACTTGAAGTGCAAATAAGGCAGTCTATTTAAATGTAATAAATTAAAATTTATAATTCATTCAACTTAGAGAGAAAAAATGTATATTTATCTTAAGATATACTAATGGCCATCGACAAAGTTGACCCGAAAGTTATCTGAGATCCATTAGTTCAACTTCGGTAGTAACATGTTAATTGGATTCATCATATCAAATGTTCTAACAACGATTTCTGTTCTTGTTTTAAATATCTGATTTGTTTCTTTTTGCAAACAGTCATCTTCTAGAAAGAGACCCATGTGTTCATTTATCTGTTTCAGAAAGAGACAACTTTCTTGACGTACTTATTTTATATTTTATCTTACACAAGGAAATTGGAAGCTTATTCAAAAGCAGGTGTTAGCAAATCTGATCCTTCGTTACCATTCAAAGGGAGAAACTGCAGGACACTGAACAAACATGTACTGTCCACTTTTGTAATGAAATTGGGGCGGCTTGAACATTTGCAATTTGATCACATTTCCAGGATAAATGGCTACCTATATTTATCACAAAGGAAAGATGAGATAAGATCAGAAAGCCAGAGATTTCGTTAATGATTTATAAACCAGAAATATATTAGTTGAGATATTGAATAATATGTAATTGATAGTTCTTATCAGTGCATTAATTTCTTAGTTCAAATGCACCTTTTGGATTTGAACAGTATATGATCCCGATCGGAAGAATCTTAGGATCCTCTCTCCAGCATACAGCAAAATTGGAACAGCAATATACATCCATGTCTGAAATCACGAAATTAGTATGTTAATTAAGCAACCTTTTAATTTGATATAAATGAATAAGGAGCACGTAATTGAGAGCCATTAGCAAAAGCTAAAGAAAATCATAACTGATTACCGTCATAAGATACCATCTGTGCACAAGATAGAGGAATACGCCATGAACGATGAGCAAGATGTACACAATAATGAATAAGTGGTGTGAATACCAGAAGGCATTATATCCCGTGAGCCTATCGAAAGGACGGGGTAGCTTAATGAGGTTCCTCCTAAACCATCGTGTTGCAAGTATAAAAGCTACTGCCATGAAAATCACCATTAAGATTCCTGTAACACCTTCACACCCTTTAACGAGGTCCATATAGCTGGGCTTATTCTTGCCAAAGTCACCAATCACATACGCATATTCAGCTTCAGATGATTTAAGGAGCCTTGGGAAATCACATGCAAGATGGTTTCCAGCATGGAGAATGATACCAACTATGATGGCCACCGCAATTATCTACACATTGAAACTTCAATTACTATTCAACTATTTCACTCTTGGAATTAACAATTTCACAGTAACTTGACTGGGTACTTGATGACTCTTAGCCAACCTTTGACAAATAGAGATATCGATGTTATACCATGATACGTCCGCGTCAATTAAACATTTTAGACCTCAAAACCTCATATATTTGCCATCATGATATAACACCTCCGATTCAAAGTTTGAAGCAATAAATTCTTCTTTCTCTTGAAGACTGAACGTTAGTGCAATAAAATCAGTATGTTCACAAACTTCCGAGTAATTTGGAAACTACACTCAAGTTTCAAACTATGTTTTAGACCATCAAATAATTTTTAGAATGTGTCTGCTTTCTCCAAAGGATTTAGACACTTAAATTTTAATTTGGCCTCCGAGATCGTGACGTACGCTCCTTACTTAAAATGACCGTGCTTATACAAGTAATCCCATAGCTGAGATAATCATGCTTTTGCAACTAAGATGAGTTGACTAAAAATTGTTGAGAAGCAGATGGATCAATACTAAAATAAAGCAATGATGAGGATGCCCAGGTCAGCGTGTACCTTATGAAAATTGATGTTGTCATCGAAAGGTACGTAGTAACCTATTTTGGTTTTCCTTAGCCAAGTAATAGTGTTCCTACAAACTGGCAAAAGAATGAGAGCCATGTTGAACTTCAAGGTCTCAGCCGCGCCCTTTGCTGTGGTGAGACAATACCCCATAATTTTGAAGGCGTTTTTATGTCGATACTGATAAAATTTCCATGAGAAAAGCCCAACCATGATCAGAATCCAAACTGTCAAAACCCAAATTCGCCTCCAATTCTCTCGCAGAAAGTAAAGCACTTTCGTGCCAAGTCTTTTAATTGGGCTTCTTTGTCGAATGCCTTGTAGGTTCTGGCTCAAAGTTTGGCTGGTGAAACTGAGGGCTCGACTGTAGTTCATGTATGTGTCCTTTTGGAGCAGAAGTGTCTCCAATTGCCATAGCTGCCACATTTCCCAGCAGAAGACAAAATCATCAGTAGTCCGAACCATGTGCATGAATCTTGCAATTAACCAGGCCACTACACCACATGAGAAATATCTATGCTCTAGGGGAGAAATTCCACCCCACCCACCCAAAGGATCATATATGTTAGATGGTAAGCACACCACTATACCCAGAATAGGAAAAGAGAAATAAATTTACAGATGAATGCGTAATCTTAAATTTAGATGGAGATTCCCCTGGTATGATTCTACGAATGCTCTTTGAGACACAAACATTCAATAATTCCTCCTAAACTGCAATGCTCTTGCTCAATGCTCAGTGCTAAATATACTGACAAGTGTTCTTAATCTGCATTTCAGTTCAATAAGTAGCCAAGAAAGTTTTTACTTCCTTTTAGTGAGCAGAAAATTTCAAACTAAACCTTAATTTCTCTTTTATTTATAATCACTTACAATTATATAGGTCAACTCCAATCTTACTGACTATAATGATTAATTTAAAAAAAAAAAGGGAGAGAGACAGAACAAATTTAAGTTCATCCAGATAATTTCTCCTTATTGATCAAAAGTGGGTTCTAATTTATTACTGCTATTGTATCGTTATGTGCCAGATTTCCCAGAATTCAAAGGAATCATGTTCTACCAACCTAGAGTTGGGTGCAATTTTTTGTATATAGTCTAGAAAGGCCAATCTACGGAATTTAAATTAGTGGATACAACTTTCGGACAAATAGACCCGATTCCATCAATATTTGTCATATGATTCCAGATCGCCTGGAACTGGATGTATTAGGCGAGGCGTAGTGGTAGCGCAGTATTAGCGTCTAGCGCTGGCAACTCACAACACAACTGGCAACCATAGAGGTATAAAGAAAAACGAAAAATAAAAAATTAATTCCCTGACCATAATTCCTTGTAAAAGTTTTTTTCTTTTTTCTTTTTTTTGAACAGTCCTTGTCAAAGTTGTTAGAACGACTAATTGCGTTTATAAAACTAAATCAACAAATTGACAATCAAAACCCGAAAAGGGCGAAAAACGAATCGTTCAACCACCAGGAATTTGCTCGTAGACATTAATAAATAGTAATTATTTTAAGGTGGCAAACCTAATTCGGGAGCAACCCTACCTAATAAAAAATCAAAACTAAAGGAAGCGTAACATTATTTACAATTTTAGTGAGACTAATTAAGCATTATTTTTTTAGTCAAAGCGAGTATAGCTCTAATTCGCATATACCTCCCACCACAAAGTTGGGAGTTCGAATCCCCTCTATAATATGTTGTATTAAAAAAAATTAAGCATTATTTTTAACCAAGAATATATACCAAAAAATTAGAGGTTGGATATTGAAGTAAAACATTAGGTATTGTTTTTAATATATGAAAATTCGTTTGAGCAGCAAATAAAAAGGAATAACTAACCTCGATATAACCTAGTCTTTCTGGGTCCAATTCTTCCATGATTAAGGCTGCATATTCCTCCGCTTGTTCCTTAAGTCTAGATAGCTTGTTGGCTGATGCGCTTAGCATGATAATCTACCAAATTTCAGAAGTAAATAGTTAGACAAATGAAATAAAAACGAATTCTAATAAACCCATGTGTTCAACTTTTTTTTTTTTTTTCTGATCAGAATGATATATTCAACCTCTTAACCGATCACAATTACGAAACCACTCTAATTATTTTTGGCACAAAATATTAAAATAATACCATCAATCTAAATGTCACGTCTGACAATTTTTAAGTGTGAGAAAATTTAAAATTATATTTCTCCTCTTTCTCTCAGAGTTGAAGATGCCATTTTTCCTACTTCTGGCGGAAGAGTTCAAATAAAGAAAGAAAAAGTCATAACAGAAAATGGTATTGCTTTATTTATTTCTTTTATTTTTAGACGAATGTCAATGGCATTCACTTTAATAAAGGTTACCGAATCCCACCTACCAAGAATCACTTTGGTTAACTATCTTAGTTGAAGTTGGTATATCAAAATTGTTAATACTATCAACCTCAAAAAAAAAAAAAAAAAATCCTTGTTAATACTATCGTTGAAATCTTGACTATCAAGGAGTTGGCCAATTCATAGCTCTATTGTAGTTGCATGATGGAAAGTGATAATTTGCTAATCTATTATAATTATATCATCCCCCATTAAAATATATGAATTATTTGAATTTTTCTTCATAATAATCTTATCATGCAAGCATAGTTTTATATATACAGAAAAAGAAAAAGGCTTTGATCTCAAATTATTTTATACTTGCCTAAAATACCCTTAGGACCAAAACAAGTTGAGTAGTAGTTGAGCAATACAATTTTTACCTCTTTTACTTCTTCTTCCGTGACATGACCATCTTCGTTCTTGTCCACCCTAAAATGTGTAATTAATTAAAATCACTAATTCCAAGCTGTTAACTAAAAAAATAATGTTCAAATTCTCATGTAATAATAAATGCGTAGTGTTTTTTTTAATTGACGATTATTTTTCTGATTCAAAAATAATACTAAGCCTAGTAGTTAAAGAGAAATGCAATTATTAAATGAAAGATATTTTTATATTACGAAAAAATAATTTATTATATTAAAGAATTCAGAAAAAGAATAATAAAGAAAGTTGATGTGCTAACTGCTACGGGGGCAATACACTTTTTTCTGCATAAACTAATTGATGGAGAATAAAAAATATGGTGATAATTCTTGGAAGAAAAAAAAATTATGATCATATGCGATGAATGCGTACATGTCGAAGAAGATCTGGAGCCTGGAATCGAAACTTTGATCTGTAATTTGCATCCAGAATTCGAATAGCTCGTCTCGACTAATTTGGTCAAAGTTGTTGAGTCTTCGCCTCCGACTTAGAGCATCGAACAGCTCGAGAGCAAACTCTTTTGAATCTTTCATTCCTTTCAAATTAGGGAAGGAAAACCACGAAATCAAGTGAAAGTTTTCACAAAATATACCTAAAACCTGTTTGCGGCCAGTTTTTACCTATGCATTGCGCGAAATCGGCGCGGCTGAGAAATCCGTCCTTGGCAAGCTTATTGAAATTGCTTTCGATTTCACGACACGAATCGACGCCATTCGTTTTATTGCTGCTTATGAATCGTAATCCATGGAGAGCCTTCCCAGCGCCGGAACGAGTTCGATCAAGCCTTGCTCGTTGCCTCCTCAGAGCTCTGGCCGCTAAAGCCGAATCAATTCCGTTTTCCACTCCAACAGAAGTACTGTTCGCGTTCAGAGTAGACGATGACGCGGAGAATGCTCGCGACGCATGGCTCCGGCTCCATGAGAAACGCCTCAATTCGGCTTTTAACTCGTGCGAGAAATGCTTCGCCTTAGCCCTCGCTTCCGCCTTCAGTTCATGAGAGAACTGACGAAACCGATGCGATGAACTCCGCCTCACCGACGGAGATCTCGAAGTCGAAGCGGAAGTCAAGGCCGGCGTTCCAGAACTGCCGGAGACGCCATCGTCGATATTGATTACTGTTGCAGGCTCAACACTTCGAAGCACCACCGTCTTGTTGTCTTGCAGATCAAGCGTCACCTCCACAAACTCCTCCGCAGCGCCGAACTCCGGTCCCAGCGGCGGTCCAAGCCGGATCACCGTGTCAATTTGTGTAATGTCGTCAGAACTGCTTCCGCGATGCTGCTCCGTAGTCGAGTTCATTGATCGGCGAACCGAGAAACGTGCCTGCAGATCGTGAAACTAATATCATCAAACAGTTGAAAAACGCTCCGGTGCCGTCGTTGCCAACCGTCCGCCGATCGGGAGTGATAGAACGAGCTGCAGAGAAGGCCCGTTCTGAATCTGAAGGAATAGGCTCTGAACGGAGAAGACAAAGATTTCCTGCAAGAAGAAAATATTTGTACCTGATGATATTTTGCATAAACCGGGGGATCGTTTTGTGATGCTCTCTTTTCCTAATTACTATTTTACCCTTCTTTTGGACTCATTCTATGCAGGACATTTAACTAAAGTAAAGCGGGAGAAAAATATTCTAAAATTTGTCTCTTTTTGTAATGATGAGATTTCAATTATAAAAATTTCTTTGTTGAGGCCGTTTTAAATATTACTTTGTATTTTTTTAAAGAATAATTTGAATAGACTAATTTAAAATTTTATAAGTACTATCACAACCTTTTAACGTATCCACTATCTTTCTTGGTTTGAAAGTTCGATATCTTGCACTAAAAAATCTTGCACTCGAAAATCTAAGTTCAATTTCTCATACTTAAAATTATATCTCTCGCCCTTAATTATTAAACTTAAAAAAAAGTGTTTGATAATATTTAAAAAGTTTTAATTTTTAATTTGAGCATGATTTTAGACTTCTTAAATTTATTTACTCAAAAAAAATTTAATTTACTTATTTTAAAAAATATACTTATTTGTATAATTTTACAATATATAAAAACTAAGAAATAATAATTATGAAAGTGTAGGGGAAAAAAATATTTAATCCATAAAAAAAATGTTTCATTGTTTAGTTTTTTCAAAGACTTTTAATTAGATTGTCTCATGAGATTCATGATCATCGAATTTTTAAAGATAAATCACGCCTTTGATAAATCACGTCTTTACGACAATTACTTGACATATATTTTAAAAATTATATTTTTTAGAGAAAGCATGATCTAAAAGCATAAATGAACAATATGTAAGCTATATTTTCCACAGAAAGCATAAGTAAGCACAATTTGTAAACTTAGAGATGTGTTCAAATGACAGTAAAAACTACGTAGTTTTATGTCACATACGATCATGATAGGGACATAATTTTAAAATTACATAAAAAGTCCCATTACCAATACAACAAATCAAAAAACATTAGAACTAAGTAAATAACCATATGAATAATTTAAGGTCCAGCTAATAAAATACCTTTTTTCATTAATCAAATATATGTACCAACTTTAAAGAAGAACCATATGCGCATTTTAGAATTTAATTTCACAATTGATTTTTAAAAAATTAAAAAGTTTTAAATTAATTTGCACATTTATGAAAAGTCTATGTTATAAATTATTGAGATAAGATAATAATATAATAAAAAGATTAACGATTCCTCGAAAAGAAATTAAAATAAAGTAACGATTTTTGCAAATGGAGTGATATTCAATGAAACTGTCATTTTTTTAATCACCATTGAGAATCTCGTCAACAGTGTACCTGTGACTTCATTACACTCTTGGGCAATATACGAAGGTTGGAAAGTCGAATTAAATTACAGCCAGGATGTCGATCTTCAATCTACCATTACATGTCTCGGTTTATCCCAAGCAGGAATGTAGTAAACGCCAGTACGATTCCCGCGAAATCCTGCTATCTGGAGATGAATGGGCAAGGAGTTGTCCACAAGAGATAGCTTGAGTGACTTGAGGCCTCAAGGAATATCGTTGAGGGCTTGGGATGGAACGCAACTTCCGCCAAACAATGACCTCTTGCGTATGTGCACATATCCTCAGATATAGGGATATAAAGGCCAAAATGATCACCAAACTCATCCAAGATATGTGTGAATCTCGATTGTAAACTTGTTAGTTGTTCCTCAATAATTTCAACCTATATTGACTTGAGTATCAGATCTTGCAAGTTTCACCTTTCACAAGAAGATTTATTCCATCCTTTGGAGGGATATTTTTTACTCAAACAATATTCATAACTTAACAAAAGAAGCTAGGAAAAAAATGATGAATAAAAATTTATAACTAATTTCTTGTTTAAAGGAAAAATATATTATTAGAAGACTTTTTTTCTATTTAGAGAGGTCTGCATTTTTTTTTATTTGAAATAAAGAAATAGTCAAGAATTCCTCAGCAATCAATATATTTTTAAAAATTTTATATTTACTATTACATTTTTGTAATATTATAAACGAAATTATTTATATGAAAATATGTATTTACAAATATTTTAGGAAAGAAGATTATCTAATGAAATTTTACTATAAAGAAGTATGCTGTCTTCAAAATAGGAAATAAAGGATAAAATTGTTGTCAAATTTAAGTAATTTTATATAGTTTAGTTAAATCCTTGTATTTATTGTTGTTTTCTTATTGCAGGGCTATACGGGCCCAAGAAAATGAGTGTGATGGGCTTTGGGGCTTCTTGAAATTAGTAGTTTTCTTATTGGTTTTGCAGAAAAGGTTACTAAAAGAAAGTGTGTACAAAATTACAAATTTGTCATTAGTTGTCAGATATTTTCATATGTATTTACTTTTTTAATGGTTACTGTAAATTTTATTTGCCCCTTTCAACATAGTTAAAGTGGATAAAACACCTTAATACTATTTCAAAGTTTGATGGTTCGATTTTCCATTCTACAATTATATTTAAGGGCTCGTTTGATAATCATTTATGTTTTTAGTTTTTGGTTTTTCTTATTTTTAGTTTTTTGTTCTTGGTTTTTTGTTTTTAGAAAAACAGAAATCATATATGTTTGATCACCATTTTTTGAATTATGTAGGGTAGGGATGACAATAGTGTGGGTACGAGTGAGGATGCAATCCTCCATTATCGTGTCCGTGAAAATTTTTAATCCTCGTCTCTATCTTGTTCTTTGGTCTGAGAGACGTTCCAGAGAAAAATTATTGATTTTATAATTGTTTTTAAATATTTTTAGAATTTACAAAATAAAAAAGAGTAATAAATATTTATTAATTATTTTAAAAATTGAATTAGGGATGGGATTGGAACATACATTCAGATAAATAAATAAATACACAGGTAAAAACAATATTCAAAATATAAATTTTAGAGAAAATAAATAAATACANAAAGAAAAGTTATAAAACACGAAATTTTAGAGGAAAAAAAGTTCGAAAAATATTAAATTTTTAGAGAGAGAAATAAAACTGGTATGTTAGAAAAAATAATAAAAAATAAAAATACATAGAGATAAAAAATTTAGAGAGAAGCGAATAATAATAAATATTCAAATACTAAAATTTTAGAGAGAGAGATTTATTTAACATAATAAAAAATAAAAATACATAGAGATGAAAAATTTTGAGAGAGACAAATAATAATAAATATTCAAAAAATACATAGAGATGAAAAATTTTGAGAGAGACCAACAATAATAAATAGAAAAATTTTAGAGACAGAAAAATAAATTATGTAGAGAGAAATTTAAAAATAAAAAAATTTTAGAGTGGGAGAAAAAAATTTTAAAAATAAATATGAGAAATAAAAAAAAGTTGAACAGTGGATGAAAAACAGATTTTGAAAAACAGAAATCTATTTTTGAAAATAACTTTGAAAATTTCAAAATAGTTTTTGGAAAACAAAAAATATATTAAACAACTTTATTTTTAAAAAACTAAAAACCAAAAATCAAAAATAAAAAATGAAATGATTATTAACGGAGCTTAAATAAATAATTTTTTTTTAAGTATCCAAGTGCCCCAAATATGTATACTTTCCCCACCAATCTCATATATTGATTAACCAATAAATATCCCAACTAATCTTGTTGACTAATTCGATGCCTTTATCTAAAAGTTAAAATTAAACATTAAATCATTAATTTCAGTAACATCTTTTTCTTCTTCTGGATTTAGAGTTTAATTAAACCAATCAATCCAACGATACTAATAGTCAAGTTTCAACATAGACTCACCAATCGAATTATTACAGAAATAGATATTTTTTTTTACAACAAATATGGAATTTAAAGCCTTAAATTATGGTCGTGTTAGGTTCGAGAAAAGTTTAAAAAAATAAATTAAAATATATCTATGGGAATTGTAATATTCATTGTAATTGTAATAAATATGAATAATGCAATAATAAAGTGGGCACATTGAAGAATGAAGAATATGAGTGTTGATATTAGCCACAGAAATCTCGACTATAAAATTTATTCTCGGCTGGCAGCCGACCATGCCGATTTGCAGAGTCCTAATTCCTCACGACTGATTGTAACTTGCAAGAGATATGAAAGACATCAATTTATTTTAATTATAAAATATATAGATGAATATGACTTCTGCAATATCAGAAGCGTATAAAATTATGTTTTAATCTTTATTTTATTTTTAGAGTCGGTTAGAATATATATTTGTTGTTTCTCGTTTTTTGTTTTTTCTCTTCTTAAGACGAAAAACATGGTTTACTTAGTTCATTCGTATATTAAATTAAAAAAAAAAAGTTTGTATGAAAACTGATTTGTTTAAAAATAAAATATTAAATTACTTTTGTTACATTTAATTTTTTCAAGACATATTATGTATCTTATATTAAAAAAATGACAAATTGATGGTGAAATAAAAAATAAATTGCTGATGTTTTCAAATTTTATATATACGTTTAAAAATGTTTCTCAATAGTAAATGAGAAGAGAAGAACATTACAAAAAGACTGTTTAGTCTTTTTTTTTTTTAACAATTTATTCTCGGAAGTTTTATAATTGACATTTTTTAATTTTAAGATTTTTGTTATAATTGATTATATTCGATTACATAGAATTTAACTATTATATAAGAGATGGCTACATATTTCAAATTATTAATTCTCATCTAATAACATTGAATATTGATGAAATTTTTACCACACTAATGTTATAATAAAGACTAAATTGCTATAAACAAATTTGAAATCTAAATTAAAATGAGTCAACACACAAGGGTGAGAATATATCTCACCAACGTAGAAGGATAATATTTTTTTTAATTAAAAAAGTTGAGAGTTTTCTAGTCAACGATAAGGATTTCAAACGAACTAAATTTTGTCATTTGAATAGTACTAATACAAATTAATAGAAACTTATTATATCGGGACCTAGAGCATATTTGAAAATGATTTTAGAATGAGTGATTTTAGCAAAAAAGATTTAACGACAAATAATTTTGAGAAAGTAATTTTTATATAATTATTTTAACCTTTGGTTACATATTTTTTCAAGTGATTTTATACGGTTGAAAGTAAACTTGAATGATTAGTATTAATTTAGCTATTTTAAAAACTAATTTCATATCCATTTTTGACCAATAATCATTTGGAAAACCGCCCCCAAGTGATTGATTGAGAATCACTTAAAATGATATTAAGTTCTTTCAAAATAATCCAAAATCGCTAAGGATGTGTTTGGTTGGTGATCTGAAAACAAGTAACTCAATGAAAAAGAGTCGTGTTCCATGCTTTGAGTATTTTTGTGTATGTATTTGGTAGTTTATTTAAAAATTGAATCTCAATTTAAAAAATTGTTAATAATATATATTTATAAATTAGTGTTAGTTACCAAACCAAATATTTGACTCAATGTAAAATATTATTATTTAATTTACCAACTTATAAATTTTGTATAAATATTATTTCACAATATTATATAATTTATAATATATTATGTTTTATATGTTTTAATTTAAAAAAAAAATGAAAGAAGTAACATAAAATGGTATATTTTCAAAAAAATTTAATTTTCTAATATAATTCTGCATTTTAAAATTTTAAATTAAAAATTTATTTCAAAATTTATGAAATCCAAAAAGAGTTCTAAAAAATAAATTTTAAGAAAAGGAGAAAATTAAAAATATAATTTAGATGGGATATAAGAAATTCTAAAAATTCAAAACATATCTATTTTAAAATAGAAGTGATTTTAAGACTAATGGAATTTATTCCAACAATACTAAAATTATTTCTAAATATGCCATGAGTTACTTTGACATTTTCAAATGTAACATAAAAAGTTTACATCATTTATTTGAAATCGACAAATTTTATGAAAGAAAAGTCTCGTGGGAAATTAAGAAGGGGACAATCCCGCCCACCCTACCACGAAAGGGGATGAATTTGGAAAAATGAAAAGGACGAAAAGGGAGAACGAAAAGCAAGTGGTCTAAAGGTACACGTGTCCAATTGCCATTGGGAATAGGTGTAAACGTGGCTCGTTATTAGTCACTAATTACACATTAAAAGATTCTTGCGTTTGATTTAGACACCCCTCTTTCCACTGCTATCTTTATAATCCTTCCCAAAATCCAAATGTCCCTACCAAACCGGCAAGCACCATTTGAGGCAAAATCTCTTCTCTATCCTCTCTCGTATTTTCCTCCAATTTCATTAAAAATACATGAATAAAAAAATAGGATTATTTTGTTTTATTTTTAATCAGATGAAACATGTTTAGGTTGACGCTGATTATGGATGTTTTAAAAATTACGACATGTACACATCTTGAAAATAATTTTAAGAGTATGAAGATTTATTTATTATTATTTTTTTACATTGTCTATATTTAGGAATTTTAAATCTCAATTCCTAGGGTTCGCTAATCTTACAATTATAGCTCATGTGGTGTGGTACATAAATAGTTACTGTTAGTGGCAATTGCAGATGCATGGCCCTTAGCTCCTGTTGAGGCATGTGTGGTCGGACTTGATCAGCTCGGACATGCCCAAAAACAAGGAGGAAATGTCAACATGTTCATAAGCATAGTCCGACATGACTCTGACTTATGATCCACATGAAATTCGCAGATAGTCAGTGGAATGTCAATTTAGCCAGTATTTGATCTTTTGATTGTTGACAGAATATTTATTACATGACAAGTTGTGTAATAGGTCGTTTCTCACTCAGTTTATTAGACTTGGAACTGAGGCTCCCATGTCCCACCAACCACTTCCTAATGCTCCTCATAAAAGGCAAAGTCTTACATTCTCAATGGTGCGTGATCTCTTGCATTTAACCTAAACTTGGCTCGATACCAGCTCAAACTAAGTACTAGCTTACGTGTTGGAGTGACATACATGGTCGAACATCACACCTCTGTAAGATTTTGTTTTTAGGTTGTCAGTTAAATACACGTCAGAATCTACATTAATATATCATCCTACTAACGTGTCATGCAAGCCATAATCGTATATCACTGTTACCAACATTTATGTATCGAGAAACATTTAAATTCATTTTGCTCCAAAATTTTGAGAAAAATCCATTTTGGATATCAAATTTTCAAAATGGCTCTATTTGCTTCTCAAACTTTCATCGAGTGTATTTTAATCCATAAATTTTAAAATAATAAATATATTGGTCCTTACCTTTATTTTGCATTTAAAAAATAGATAATATAACTTTGTATGTGCGTTTACAGGCTAGTGGCTATGATTTATATAATTTGAAGAAATTATACGTCTCTAAGAGCACGCATGGTTTAAAAATTATAATAAATAATTTGAATAGAAGGAATAAAAAAAACAAAACAAAAAAAAAACAAGGAAGAAGTCAAAACTATTGTTAACGTTATATATGGATATATATAATTTATTTATAATTCACAATGATATTAAAAAAAAAAAAGAAAAAAATCTAGTGAGCGAGAGTCGGGCTTTTCATGGAGGAGTTACGTCCGATAGTGAGAGTCTATAAATATCTGCTCCATTGACGACTTAACGTCCTCAAAGTTTTGAAACAAATCAACAAGAATCGCTGTACGAAGGAAGAAAAAGGGAAATTTAAGATGTTCTTCTTCAAATCTTCGTCCGGAGCAGTGCACGAGGAATCCCAGCCGGCGGAGGAGGTCAAGAGAGGCGGCGGCGCGTGCGTGACACTCACGGTGTGGAGGAAGTCACTGCTACTCACCTGCAACGGATTCACAGTGATCGATCGAAACGGAAATATCGTATACCGAGTCGACAATTACGTCGAGCGGCCGGAGGAAATGATTCTGATGGACGGCCTCGGAAAATCCGTCCTCACAATGTGCCGCTCCATGGTCAGTCAATTTCTCCTCTCCGATGAAATAGATCTAATTGTTTGTTACTTGCCCTAATTTTCGCTGTAATTTAGTGGAGGATTGGATTCTGATTTGTATGTTTCGGTTAACAGAGGCTTGGACTAGCAGAGAGCTGGTGCGTGAACGAAGGGGAAATTGGCGGCGAAACTAGGGCTAGGGCGAGAGAGAGAGCGAGAAAGAAGCCGATATTTCGGGTGAGGAAGAACATGAACATTCTACATGCGGCTCCAAATTCGAAAGTGCTTGCGTACGTATACGACTACAGAATCTCGGAGAAGAAATTGGCGTACAGAGTGGAAGGTTCGTACGGGCACCGATCGTGCAAGATTCTGGACGCGTCGAGGAGAGTGGTGGCGGAGGTGAAGAGGAAGGAAGCGGTTAAAGGCGGCGTCTGTTTCGGGGCGGAGGTTTTTCTTCTGGTGGTTCTTCCTGGCTTCGATCCCGGCTTCGCCATGGCTCTGGTTTTACTCTTGGATCAGATGTTCTCTTAGATTAGAATTTGATTCTTCTTCTTTTTGATCTTCCACTTTTTTTTCTTGTGCATATTTTACAGTAGCAGCGTTTTCTTTGGACTTTGAAAGGAATTTTTTTCCTAGTAGAGAGTCTGAGTTTATTCCCTTGTCGTGGGCATAATAATATTTTTTTTCCTCGTGGGCATAATAATATTTCCTTGTTCTATTGTATATAAGTATATACAATAATGATTTTAACAAATAATTGAGGTATAATTATATTTCACTACAACATGTAATCCCTTTTTTCTAGTAAAACAAATATGGGGCTACAAAAATCTGAACCTCCAACCTCAAACTTTACTATAAGATAGAAATTTTTCCCTCGGATAAATTTGGTCCATTTTTCAGAAATTTTTCCCTTGGATAAATTTGGTCCATTTTTCATTAATTTTGAGGACAAATTTGATCCTTAGCCAAGTATTTTCCACAAAATATTGTCTTAATACGTTTTTAAAATTTGATCGATTTAACTCATCTGTAATTTGTATATATCTCCAATTAAAAAGTTTCACCCCAACATATTGTACTGTTATATATATATCTTTCATGAAAAGATCCCTATATAGATAATATATGTTTCTAAACAAACCACACGATTATCGACCTATTTAGACATATTCACGACCAAGAAATAATTAATAATGTCAATATACGTCTATTATTAAATTCACCCAAACAGGATAAATCGCTAATCACTAAACGGATAATTAATAATTTGAGTCCAATCTATTTTTTGTCACCTTTATATTTTTGTCCATTTATTTTTTTCTAAACTCTAATAAATGTCTATATGTAGATAAAAAAGAACAATTAAAGTATAGATATAACCATCCATATTAATTGTTCTATTGAACCGAAACAAAAGTCTTAACATATGACCACATCATAAACGATGGTGACTCTGAGATAGGCCGTTTGAATACGCATCTGTAGGAATAAATGTCACATACACAACACTAAAATTAATGTAACATACACGATTCTACATCAACTTAAGGTCAATTTTTCATTACTATTTAATAAGATAATTAATGCTAGAAATTAAATAAACTTTACTATAGAATGTAAGAACTAAAATTACATTTTAAGGTTGCTCGTCCTCCCTGAATGGCGACAACGAGGGGGGAAAGCGACAAGAACAGCACCAGTCTAATCTCGTCTCTGTTCCTGCCTTGTATTTGGTACTAACAGTAACACTAACAACAACCGAAACAACTAGAAATTTCCTGGTTCTATTCAGAGATGTGACAACACCCAAAAAAGAAAAAAAAGAGTGGCCAGAACAGAGAGGGGCATAACAAAATATAAATAAGAACTAAAAATTTCTATTGCCTCGTCAAATACTTTTTTTTCACACAGTGGCAAAGAATTTGCCACTGCGTTCTGGAATGAAGTTGATGTTACAACAATTAGAAAGCGTGTGTCACTATTCAGGACGGAGCATTACAATAATCAATCCACCAAGTTACAACAATATTATGTACAACCAACCAGTTTCGCCACTACCCCAGCCAGAGCAGTGATTCTAATTTAATAAACACATTCTTTGGTGGGATATGAAATTAGAGTTTCTTGATCAAACTAACCTGTTCCTCCACCTCTTTTCCAATCCATCAGCATTAGTTTTCGCGTTTTCTGTTGACCCTCGCCACCCTTGCATAAAAGAGTTGTTGCTGGTGGAGGCATCATAGATGATGGTTTTACAATGCCGGAGGTTGAATGTTTAGCATCCGAAGCCGAATCCCGAACGAACTTGCTTGGAGATGATCTACTTGATCTGGGTGTGGCCCAATTCAATGGTCCTCTTCTGCAATTTGTATGAGCAAGGTCCCTTCTACTCTCTGTTGTTCCTAGCTTTGGCTTCTTTGAGGAATGCATATGGCCCTCACTCTTAAACGGATTGTCAGACCACAATCCATATGTAGGCGCGGCATATAACTCTTCAGTTTCCTCTGATTTCAACTTGCGAGCTCTCATGGACTTTTGTGAAGGCTTTTTTGGCCACCTTACTATCCCGTCTATGTTCTGCCTTGATGCAGCATAAGTTGCAATGTCGTACAGAGTTTTAGCAGCAGCTATTACTTTTGGACACTGCTGATCTGTAGAGAAGCAATATCTTTCTTTTTTAGGTAAGAAGTAGAGAAGCAATATCAATAACCGAAGACAAGAAATTCAGCTAAACTTCATTTGTATGCAAATGACACAAAATTTTCACATACGTTTCATTCAAACTACAGCCAGATAAATGAAGTAGTAACACTCGGATCTTAATTTGAAATCACAACTTTGTAATGAACAAACTGGGAAGGTGGCTAATCTTTTAGAGACACATGTATATTATAGCATGTCTACCTACAGTTCCCTTGGGAGATTAAAAATCCAAGTTTTGAATATTTCTAATAACACATAATAAGTAAATGCCAAGGATTAAATTTAAAGTCACTTTATACGTTTAATGTTTTATASAGTAAGCTTCTCTCTACTATCAAAATTCTCAAACTAGCGAAGCACTTTCTTCAACCACTGAACTTCAGAAAAACTTTTCATTTAGAACACTAAATACTCAGATTACTCCATACGAACTTCTCTTTCCAATCTTTCTCTCCTCTCTTCCTTTTCTCACTCAAGATCAGTTTCTCTCTCCCTCGGCTCCTCCATAAGAATATTCCTCCAGTGGATTATTCTTGATTCCTTTGAAAACGGGACCCATTAGATTCCTTGAGGTAGGGTTACTGCTGGTCTTTCATCAGAAAAGTCATTTTAAGCGATAAATGAAATTGAGTGGGTTCGCATACTGAGAGTTATTTATGGTGCCATTGGAAAGTCATTTACTGATAAAGTTTTTATTTTATTTTTTATAAAATTATTGGATCTTAACTCCAAACTTTAACATTTTTTAAGAATAAGACCTATATAATTCATAAAGATAAAATAAGGAGTTCAATAACAAAATACACAAAGCATCATAGGCATTCTCGTATTTGTCCCCAAACGAATAATATACCCAAAAGAAAAAAAGTGCTGCATTGCAAGTTTTAGTCACACGCACAGCTAACAAATATATAAAGGTATCATAAGAAATAAGAAAGTTGAAACTCATACCATTTGCCTCATAATTCGTCTTCCCTCGAGATTCTGTATGTAGACCAAAAGCAGCGTCATGATTTAAGTAAAATAAATAATAATAGCAGAATGGTTCCAAGGTGAATACTGTATCTCAGTTATGCTACATAAATGCCTTCCAATAAATCCTTACCCACAAGCACAGAGGAAGCTTTCGAACAAATTGCAGAAGACAGGGAATCCCATCCACATTGATGGTGATTAACAGATACAGACGAGGACCTTCTATCATCAGGTCCAACAACTCTCATTGTTGAAGGAAATAAACTCTGATTAAAAGTCAATGATTCCAAATCTTTCGTAAAACAATCAGCAGTAGCACTGGGGATGCTGGAAAAGTTCCCAATTCGCCACCACCTACCAGGACATGTAGTCCTATTTGCAGAAAACTTGGATGAATCAGAATTTGATTTAGAATGTCCATTAAAAGAATGCGACCATGGAAATGGTTGCAACATTGCTCGACGAGATTGTTGCTTCGCTGAACGTAAATCTGTTACATTCTTTGAAGAAGATACAGAGGACTTGCTTGCATCCTGGAGCAAAGACTCTAAGTCCTTTGGTAGGGGAAGGCCCATTTTCACAAACATGTCATCAGGTTTGTACAACTTAAAATCAAGCGGATTGGTCAAAGTTTCAGAATTGCTACAGGCATCTCGCACCTTCATGGAAAAAAATAATAATAAATAATTAGGTCTAAATCCAAATGCAATTATACAAAAGGAGCTTCATAATGTATGTCTAAAAGTAAGAACACTGGTAAGAATCCTCTCAATGAAGATTTGAGACTTTTGCCTCATCAATTGCCGCAACAAAGAGAATCAGCAGAAACAGATTCAATCAGGTTGTGGACAGATCTCAAATAAATATAATAGACATGTCAAAACAATTTGAAGCAAGAAAATGTATAGCCAGCGTACAGATAAAAACGTTAAATAAACTAGAGAGTCAAACTGCAGACCTTGTTTAATGAAGGTGAATCTGTTGCAATAGGTTCTTTTACATCAAAATTCACCCCTTCTTCCATGCTTGAAACATAACTCACTATACTTGTGGATGGTTTACTGTTAGAACAGCCCTCTGACTCCGCAATATTTTGTGGGTGGACAGGCCATGGGAGCTGAAGAACAGAACAAGCTTTTCTAACTGACTGCAGAAAACATTCATTTACATTTGTGTCTTTTTTACCTTTGTCTATACTTAAACTAGCAGAGTCATAACTGCCATCAAGAAGATCATTCAGCGGTGGATCATCCACAAGCTTTGTAAAATCATGAACATCTGATTTCAGCCCATATAGTGCTGTATAAATTTCACAAGGTCCATAAGTGATATGTATGCTAAGTGTAATGCAAACTACGGGGCACATAAGTAAAATCAATGAGAAGATTTATTATAAACAAATTATATACAAGTGGTTGTTTCTTAACTTATGTCATGGATAACAACTAATATAGTATAACAACTAACAGACTTGAGCAGGTAAACTCCTGCCAAATTGGAAACAAGGTCCATCTATGACCTATAGTGATGGAAGAAAAAGAAAATCAAAGAAAGCTAAAGAGGAATTGCCTTCACTATAGCACTTGTAAGAACTGAAATTGAGAATGCAACTCTCTTCCGTAAAGCTAGATATACTCAAAGATAACTCTTTCTTGACGAATAAAATAAAATAGGTGACGTTAAGAGAGTCGCACTCTATCTTTTCATGAGATAGGTAAACCGCTGCAATGTGGGGAGTTGCATACAGATGGTCATACCCATTAGAAATGCTATTCATGAAAGATAGGAAAACCAAATCATATCTTCACAAAAGATAACTACAACTCAAACTCAATAGAATTAGACCTGTCTTGATTTAGTTATACTTATCAGTTATCACTCAATTTTGGTCCTGAAACAATAATGACATAAAATTTCCTAACAAGAAACCAAGAATATCTACAACAGCAGCAATTTAAAACCTCTGCATTATCCAATGAATACACATGTATAGGCTCCTCAAAAGACCATATATACCAAATAAATGCAAGCTTTTGAGCATATTAATTAATAATTCATATGACATCATACCAAGAAAACTGCTCCCTGCTGCAGCTGAGCCATTTCCAGCATTTATAGAGAGTGAATCAAATTTTGTCTTCAATGACACTTTGAGATTTCTCTTATCACCCCGCTTGCTGCTTAGGCTACTCTTCTGTTTCAGCAATTGAGCTTTCTCTGTTTCT